TTGAATATTGTGTGTAGTTTTGGGCACTGCAATTAAGAAAGATATTCAGCTCTTAGAGGGGGTCCAAAGGAGAACAACAAAAATGGTGAAGGACCTGGAGGGGAAGCCGTATGAGGAGTGACTGAGGTCACTTGGTCTGTTCAGCCTGGAGGAGACTGAGGTGAGACCTCATTGCAGTTACAACTTCCTCATGAGGGGAAGACAAGGGGCAGGCACTGATCTCTTCTCTGTGGTGACCAGTGACAGGAGCCAAGGGAATGGCCTGAAGTTGTGTTAGGGGAGGTTTAGGTTGGATATTAGAAAAATGTTCTTCACCCAGAGGGTGGTTGGGCACTGGAAGAGGCTCCCCAGGGAAGTGGTCACAGCACAAAGCCTGACAGAGTTCAAGAAGCATTTGGATGATACTCTCAGGCACATGGTGTGACTCTTGGGGCTGTCTTGTGCAGGGGTAAAGGTTGGACTCGATGTTCCTTGTGGGTCCCTTCCAACTCAGCAGATTCTGTGATTCTGTGAATGTGTAATTTGCTTTACAAATACATGTCTTGAATTTGTGGTTGTTGGGGCTTTGGTTTTTCTGTTGGTTGGTTTGGGATTTTTTGGTACCCTGCAAAAGAATGTTCTTCAGCTGTTGGTACCTTTGGATAAAACTGAAAAACAGGATGATGTTCTAAAAGCACTAAAGCACATGTGTGACTTCTTTGTTCAGTTTTTTGTTTTCATAGTCTAAATTTGTCTTTTCTTTATTGTTTCAATAGTTTAATGGTTCCTCAGTCGCTCTTATAAAGTCAAGTCATACGAAGTGTCTTAAAAGAGAAAATTATTTTATAAGAATCACTGAGTTCTAAGAAGAATTTTTCTGAAGCTTTTATTCTATTTTATAACTGGAGAAACCAGGGCTAGCACTTGTAACTTGCCTCAGGCTTTGGAAAGCTTAAGTGTCAGAAAGAAGAGCAGTGGCGAGCAGGCTGCCCTGGCTTCTGAAACTGGCTTGGCGCATCTGTGCCTCAAAGCTTTTTTTAACCCTTCTGCTGGCAGTAGGGAAAAAGGGGAGCTTGAAGGCTGGAGATTAACTAGTGGTCTATTCAATGAATGATCATAGCTGGGTTTCTCAATAGTGACAGACAGTAGTTTTCTTGTGTGTTAAGACTGAGAGCTTATTAGACCTGGAGGTACTGAGGAGTTGGGTGGTGTTTTGTTTGTTTGTTTGTTTGTTTGTTTGTTTGTTTTTTGGTGGTTGGTTTGGTGTTTTTTTTTTTAATTTTATTTTAATGTTGGCTTTTTTTTTTTTTTAATTAGATGTGGTGTGGGATGTGTGAGGTGGACACGGATGGTCTTCTGTCAAACCCTGACTTCTTGATTGCTTGCTGGTGTGGTATTCTTTTAAAACAGTATTTTAACTGTTCTTATGCTAAGAAAATAGCAGGAGAAAGACATGAGACTCCTATAAAACATAGCTTAATGATCATACAGTGGGTGTTCCATGGAGTGAGAGGAAAAATCTGTATATTATGATTCAGCAATGTCTTGAGTGTTTCTGTTCGTAGGCTTTTCATAGGCAATTTCTCTATAAGTTTATTTTGCCCCTTCTGCAACAGTATATGATCCTACATTGAATTGGCTTGATGTTCTATCATGTATCCTGACATACCCAATGATACAAGATGACTTTCAGTTACACCAGGTGGGGTTTTTTTCCCTTGAAAATATATAGTCCTAGTCACCACGGCCTGCCAGCTCTTGTGAAAGGTACAAATTTTCTTGTCTTCGCAAGGTTTTTCTTTTCTGTTAACTAGCTGACTTGCGTTGAATACTGCCTTTTGTCCTCCTTCCTCCCTATGAATCACAAAATCACAGAATCAGTTGGGTTGGAAAAGACCTCTGAGATCAAGTCCAACCCATGACCGAACACGACCATGGCACTAAATACCACATCCAATCTTTCCTTTCATGTACTGCTTGGATAGTTTACAGGGACTGAAACAGTCTTATCAATGAAAGAAATTGCAAATCTGGAGTTCAGCCATTGCAAACTATAAGATTAACCATAGTAGGCAGCATGTAGGTATCATGGTGACTGACTTCAACTTGCTTTTCGTTTCATAGGTAGAGATATCCAGTGTTAATACCTGATGGTAAAGTAGAAACATCTCTCAACATGTTGTTAAAAATATTTACATTTCCCACATCATGATATAATTGTCCTAATAGTCCTTGTTCAAACTGCTGTTTAAGACTGTTGCATATCAGATGATATTTTTTGCAGGTAATTGTATTTATAAAATCCAGTGGATGAAAGCGAATGTGTTTAAGTGTAGTGGTTTATCTGCAAACCTGAGTTTGTAGGTGTTGTAAAAAGGAAAACCTGAAAATTATCCACTGCACTCAAGATAAGCAGTTGCTCTCATTCTGTCTCTTGAGAGAGTCTCACCACATTGGTAAGAGCTCAGCTGTGATTGTATTAGTACACAGTATGACTAAATGGTTAGAGATGGAAAAAAACCGATAATAGAGGTTATGTAAGCAAATTATTGCTTTTGGGGTTTTCTTTTTTTAAAGAATTTAACAGCCTCGTTACTAAATTATGCGCCTCCTTGTTCCCTCGAGGGAACATTCTTTCATCTGAGTTTTCATATAGAAGCTCCCAAGCAGCTGAGACAAGGCTGGAATAAGCAAAGTTTTCCTCCTAGGGATACCTTGGGAATTTCTTTTTCTGCCCTAAACCAGTGGATTTTGGGAGGGCATGTGTGCACAGTCTCTTTTTATGCAGTGTTGGTACCTTTAATGCATGTTTTAATAGTGTTACTAGAAATGTTTTTCACACACACAAAAATAAAGACCCTGAGTACCTAAAGTTATACGGTATCTTGTATTATAATAGGTGTCTTTTATTTGTAATAGGTTGCATTTTATTAGGCATTTGGAAACGTGTTGTGGACTGGCATAGTTTTTAACCACAGGGGCCTTGAGATAAAATCTTGCTGCATAAGCTGAATGTCCTGTTGATAGTTTTTCTCTGTCACGTCTGCATTAGTAAATCAACAGGGAGAAATATGTACCTCAGTTGCCTGTGTGTCATTGCCCAAATCCATCTTCACCAGTCTCTGAAGCATCGAACTTGGTCGTTACTACATTTTGTACTCAGAGCAAGTCACTCGTGTGGGTGCAGGGGATCCTGCAAGGAATAAGAAAGTAATTCTCAGTCTTGTAGCTGTTCTGCATGACTCTGTTGATAGTAGGGAAATGGAGATGCTGAAACAGTCATCATACCTGTAAGCTGGGAAGCCCCTCCAGTCAGGTGTAATTTTGTGTGTTACATACTTATATGTTTTAAAATGCCTGTTTAAGATATTTAGCAATTAAAGGTAATTAAACATAATATTTATAAAAGGTAGGAATCCTTTCATAATGATTTAAAACAGTGAAACAGGGTGGAGTGATATTTAACTAAGCTATCATAGAAGTAATGTTTTCTGTTATTTTAGTTCTGTTGGCAACAGACTTGGCACATATGAAAAGTATTGATGGGACTAACTCTTGTCCTCTTTTTGTGGCTATATGTGTACTGTTATGTAGTATTTGTTGGAGGCATTAGGTGGATGGGGTTTGAGGAATGAAGCTGTTTCTCTTTATGGGATAAAGTACTAGCCTGTATAAATGCCACAGGGCTAATTGCTGACCTAAAGAACAGCTTGTGTTAGAGCTTTTTTCCTTACCCTTTTTTTTTTCTTTTTTTTTGGCCACACCCTTTAGTACAAAGCGTCTCTAACTGTAGACAAATGTCATTGTATACAGCTTCCGTGTATGCCCAGAGAGTCCAAGATGTAGCCCAGTGGCAGGATGTAGCCGGGAGGAAATACATACTAGAGGTGGGCTCTGGGCTCGGTTCAGACATAGTGTCCTCCTGCAAAAGACTGTTGGTTTGGTTTAGTGTGTTTAGTTTAGGGTGTTTAGTGTCTGTGCTGGAGAAGAAGGAAGAATAGTGCAGCTGAGCCTTCAGGTGGTGCTGTGTTCTTCTCCATCCACTGTGTTCCTGGCTTATGAGCCTGAGATGTGTGAAAACAGAGCTGTCCTGCCAGCTGAGCATGATCCAGGACTCCTCCGTGAAGAGCATCCCAGGCCACTGTGATACATACCATATTGATGTCATAAACTCTGACCCTTTTTCAGAATTGTTACCTGTGTTGTTGAGGTGATCAATGCATCTGTATCACCTCACGTTTTCAATGAGGCACTGACAGATTTGTCGACTAATGTCTGTGCCATCTTGTGGTGGCTGATTAGGTTACATCAAGATTCTCTTAAAAACAAAACCCTGAAGTGAGGAAAAAGCATGCAATTTTAACATTATAGAGTGATTCTAACTTGCAGTTTTTCTTTGATAGCATTTTGAAATGGTGAGCACACATTGAATTAGAGAGGTGGAAGTGGATGAAGATTAAAGTGTCTCTCAGGTGAAACATCCAGCATGTTGCGTAGTGGCATTTGGAGCTGTGAAGGATGGAACATGCAGATTGCAAAACTTGTGAGAAAGTGCTCTGTCACAAATGGCTAAAGAAAATCCAGAATGCTAGCATCTGAGGGAAATCAGTTAAATAAAACCACCCAGGCTGTTTGGACTTAGCTCATTTTGCAAAGTATATGTTAATGGTCGGTGCTGTAAAACTAATGGTGTGGTACAGAATATTCATTCCAAAAGAGATTTTGTTGTCCTATGTTGTCCATACAAGCTAGAAATTCTGATTTTGGAGTTTTCACACGGGGAAAAGAATGTTCCGACACCTGCCTGTAATTGTGGGTGTATGCATTCCTAATGCAAAAGGTATGTACTGCATAGGCAAGTGATTAAGGGGGGCGGTGGCACACATGACATCCAACATGCGTATATGGAAGAAGACTCATGCTCATTGTTTTAGGTTAGGCTAAAATTTCTAAACATGAATAAACAGAGCAGCTGAGCAAAAATCAGGTTCATGCCTGGAGCCTTCCAGGCTTCTTTTCATTCAGTGCTCATCTGCTTGTGCAAGCACAGCTCCATTCTCCCGCCGCCCTGAGAGGAGGAAGCAGCAGCCCCTGCTGCTGAGGTGCTTCCAGCTCTCTGCAAGCGTGCAGGAGACAGCGTTCCCAAGGCCGGCTTGCTGCAGCTGAGGAGACAGCACTCATAGACCCCCCTTTGATTAGGATGTGTCAGTGTTGTCAGGGCAACTGTTAACAGCGGCGTATCATATTTTCTCCTCTTGTGTTGCGTGCTGAATATTTTAGCACGCTGGTTGCAGGGAAGAAGGTGCTGCAGCAAGGAACCTGGAGCGGTGGGCTGGGATCTGATTGAACAAGTTAAGACAGAGAAGAGCAGCATCCAAACCAATGTGCCTTTAATTAGGGCTTTCCTTCAAGGTGGGGAAAGACTGCAAGCCTTTTGCTGCCGACTGGATGTTGGTATTTGTCAGCTGTTTGCATACTGCTTATCCATAGGGGATCTGTTACAAGTGCTGAAATGAACAGGCAGCGTTGCAGCTAGTAGCTAAGCAGGGGCTGGAGTTTCTTACTTTTTTTTTTAATAAGCAAGAGGCAACAGCAGCATGCCTGGTTCAACTACTGCCCTCCGACAAGAGAGACTGAAGAAAAGTGCCAGGCCAAATCCCCCGGGTTTATTCACCATTGATGAAGAGGATGAGCAGCAAAAGAACGGGAATTCCAAAAGACTGAAAGGTACGTTGCAGTTCTGCAGTGTGATCAGGGCTGTGTGTGAGATATGCTGCACAGCAGGCACAGCGTTTTATTAGCTCTTCTGTGTGCTAGAGAGAGTCTGTAAGTGGCTGGTGCAGTTTGGCAATTCATGTTGGCACCCACAAAAGCTCTGTGTATGATAGGTGTCTGTATTTAAATCCCCCGGCTTGTTATGCAATCAGTTGCTTTGGCTATGAAGAAAAAAGTACCTTTTAGTTATTAACCCCACTTCTTCTGGTAGGGATAAGGGTTCTGCATCAGAAATACATTGGTGAATTTCTGTATGTTTACTTTGATTTCTGTTCACACTCTGGACAAATAACTATTAAAAACAAGGTGATTGTAGGGTTGGAGAGTACAGAATGCAATACCAGCCTGTTTAAGAAGACAGCTTTGCCAAGACATTGTAAAACTGGCTATACTTCCATTTCTGTGCATGAGGGACAGTGAGCCTTTAGCAGAGTGTAGAAAAATACACATTGTTCAAATATGCTGACTTAAGTCTGACAACAAACCAAAACAAATCAAAGAGAAAACACAAACCCTAACAAATTGTAACTGTTAAAGGAAAATATTTGTGGTGGTTAAGGTAGGTGAGTGATGGTGTCAGAGGGATCCTAATAGCCATTGATTTATAACAGGTCTGTTAAGCCTGTGTAGCCACTGTCTATCTTATATCATCTAATTACTGTTTCCCTCATGGATCCTGCAACTTACGATTGTGACTGGAATTTTTATTCTTTTTTTTGTGATCAAGTGATTCTATTTATATGAACACTCCTTTTTGTGGTCTTGTTGGGGAAGGGGGATGAATTGTATCAGTTGTTGTTTACAAAACAAATGCTAGTTTGTAGCCTCAAGACACTGTTTTAAATTTCAGATGTTACCATTCTACCATGTAACAAGAGACGCTAGAAAGCATTTAAATAGCAAATTTATACTATGTGTATTTATTAGAGCTGAATAATTTACAGCTAACTGATTTATTTTCCTGAAGGAAGAAGGTAGCTTGGTAGCTTTTACAAACAATTTCAGAGCACAAGATTATTCTTTTTCTTCAGTTCGCAGCTTGTACTTTTTTTTCCCCTCAGAATGGATTTGAGTATCATGATAAAATATATATTGCTAGCCATTGTTAATGTGCCTGTTGTGTCAGGGTCTTGTGTACATAGTTACCTGCTATTCTGTATATTTGAAACTGCTCATATAAAATGGAGATACAAACTCTAGTGTGAGGTTATTGAGTTTTTAATGTTTTAAGAAGCGTATTACTTTCCTTTGTCACCCACTGGATGACTTCCAGAGTCAACAGTCCATAAAGCTAAAAATCAATAATTTTCCTGGTTTTGTTCAATAGCACTGATAGTTTCCCAGGGTAAAAGTTCTTGTTGACTTAGCTTCTCTTTTCTACTTGCAGCAGTTATACAGATGTGCTTATCCTTTGTCTCTTTTGTTTTAACTGAGATTTGATTTTCAATTATTCCTTTATTTTCTCTTGTTGCTGTGAAATGTAAATAGATGAATGTGCACGGGAGCACAGGCAGCAAACAAACAAATGCATGTGGTTTTAATAAGATAAACATTTGGTGACTTACCTTGACTGCTCCTAGTGAGAAATAATATAAGAAACTGTACAAAATATTTTGGAAATATATTCATTTGCTTTTAGTTTCGTAAATACTTAAAATGGCTTATACTGTCTCTAGAACAGAACACCACTTACACACCTATATATGTGGATAAATAACTACATTTGTACATTTGAATGTGTTATCAGTCATTAGGTGGGTTAGAGCTGGAGTGCCTGGTAATGGAGAATGCATGTACTCAGCGTGGTGTTCTCCCTACCTGATACCAAATAAGGTCACTCCAATGCAGCTCTGACTATGTGATGGACCCATGTGAGGCTTTCTTGAGTCTTTAGTGTCTGCTACTTTACAGTGTTTGCTCTTAGTTCTTTACTTGTTCTGTTTACTCAGCAAGCACCTGTAGCTGCTGAGAGGTTAATTCCCCCCCCCCTTCTCTAGCACATTCTAAGTCAGTGTCATCTTTGTGTGAGGTGGGCTTTATGTCGTCTTCATCTGCAGTTTGTATTATCATGCTGGATCTGTCTTTGTACATCAGTTTAAAAGCCAAGAAGCCTTTAATGGATCTGATACTCCAAAGTAATAAAGAAATTCCTTCCTCCATTAAAGGTATTTGAATATCATCACAAGATTTAAAATAACCAATATTTTCATAGTCCAGGTCTTCTCAGAATACTTGAAGACTTGATTAGACTTTGTATGAGAGTTGTTTTTGTCATCTGGGAAACAAATATTCATATGGATCTTAAAGTGGCTGACATTTGTGAGGTTTTCTGTAAATTGATTTTTATATAGGCCATTCCTTTTCTTGTTTTTGGCTGTCTGTATTATAATTGGAGAGGTCTGGTAGGCAATGAGTTTGTTCCTCCAGTGCAAGCGAATAATGACAATGTTAAGGATTTCTTTTTTTCAGTCTGCAGATATGAAAAGCCTGCAGTGATCTTTGTAGCCATGTGTTCCTGATACTTCCTTTCCTTTGATGTGAATTTTATTCACTGCTTTTTCACCAAATATTTTAACTTCCTCTCCTCACCTTGTCTTTGGGACAAGGCCTGCATTTTTGTTATTTATCTGTATGGCACCTGCTATTGCAGGGTCTTGAGATCCATTTGTTGTGTAGTAGAAGAATGCAAATAAAAATTACTTTGAATATCCCTTTTTACCTTCATTAACAGTCTCTGATCTCCTTTCCCTTTATAACATACAGGAATGAATTTTACCACATAGTAAACTCTTCAAATACAATTTTTGCGGGTTTACAGAAGGTTATTTTGCATTTGAATTAGTTTTTTGTTAAGTTACCAGCTTTCCAGCAGTTCTGCAACTATATCCTCAAAGAAACCAGACAAAACAGGAAGAGAACCATGCACTTAACAGCTTCAGTATTTTCTTAAAACTTGTGTTGTAAAACAAATACTGTTTCTGTGACTGAACATAGTGTGTGAAAACGGTTCTGTACGTAAATCACAAAGATAGGGCTGAGTAAAATAGTGTTTAATTACAGGTATCCATCCTCTGTGTGTGAACTTCAGCCTCAACCATTCTTTGAATTCAGGCACAAACAATTCAATTTGCCTCATGATTTCTCTCCTCTGCTCCTGTTCATTTTGTGCACCTTGGATGTAGTCTTAAAATTCAATTCTATGAAATTTTTAGGTGATGCCTCCTCTCCTTCCTCTTAGGAGAAAGACCTTCTCAGATTGTTGATAATGTGTTTCTAAAACTGTCCTTTGAAGAGGCTAGAAAAGTAATACTCATGCTTCTGGATTATGGATTTGAATACTTAATAACTGACAAATCAATGAAAAGTCTGAACTGACTTAACCATGGAATCCTTCACCTTCCTGTTTATTTAAAACTGATCAAGGGAGTGTACCTCTAATCTGTTGAGTGGGTATTGCTAATACAAAGCTAGACATTTATGCCCTAGTTTTCTGAACAGTAACACTGATTCTTTGTCATCTTGAAAACAAGAGAAGTGCTTTTTTCAGTTGTTTGGTAAATGGCAGTGATGTCAGTGATCACCAACAGGTTTTGCCACTGTTGCATGGATGGCAATGAGCATGCTCATTTCAGATGTAAGGTTTATTCCTCAAGAGACTTGAGGGAGATTTCTTCTAACACAACTGTTTATGTGCTTAGTCTCCATGTTCTGCACCTATTAGGGAAATATATATTTCTTTTTAAACTCAGATTTTCCAACTATTAGTTCAGTTGTTGTTTTGTTGCTGTGTGTCTATACCCAAATGCAAGCTTAAGATACCTGAAAGAAAAGGGAACTTGGCATCTTCAAGGGCATTAAACTGATAGTCCTGGAAACTGAAACTGGATACTTACAAAACAGGTATTGCATGGGGTGTGGAAGTGTAATTTTATCCCACACTGCGGAGTCTGTGCTTCAGGCGGGATCCAGAATGACAGCTTGGTCTCTGGCTTCCACCACGCTTTAAACCAGCAAAACTGCCTGGGATGGTGGTTGTCTCAATGATGCCTCTTGATGCTAATCAGTAGGCTGACCTCCAGTTTGTTTGGGGCAGAACAGTGAGCAATTGTCAAAGGCTGATGAACTGGCTCACCAAAATCAAGTACTGGAAGTTTTCTTGACAGTTGGTAGCCTTATCTTGCCCATCTGCATTTGAGGCAAAGTGAGGGGAAAGAGTAGGTGGAAGGAAGGAAAGGTACCAATTCCCATTACAGTGCTGGTTGTGTAAAGGGGCAGGGCTGAGAACCTGGGCAATGTGATTTGTCATCCTGCACCTTCCAGTGAGCTCTTCTAGTGTTTCTCTGCACTTCCTCTTTCTTTCTGCTAGCCAAGGCCAGGAGAAGAGGGGTCTAAAAGTATCAGTGATTTTTCTGGACATCTGTTTAAAAACAACTCTCAAAGTATCTGGAAGGTACATTCCTAGAAAAGCCCTGTATTCATTGCCTACTTTGCAGCTGTTGGGGTAAAGAAGGAAGCTATGTTTTTTTCAGGAAACTACTGCAAAGCTGTCTCAATTGTAGAGTTTCCCCATTCATAGATGTAGGTGCTAGGTAGCAGGAAACATCCCATTTGTAATAATGACACAAAGAGATCCTAATATGAAGTAATTTACTAGCAGTACAGCAAAGAGACTATGCTGAAAGTCTGGGGGATAGCAGGGAATATATCTGCAGACCAGTGGAGCAAATCTGATTTGTTCAGTCCCTCTGGCTTTCAAAGTGAAAGTCCCAGGTCTGAGGACTTGGCCTGTGTTGTAACACAGTCTGTTCATCAAAGTGTGTGCTGGGATTACTGACAGTGCTTATCTATGCTGGGTAAGAATCATCTTACACTTCTAGGTCAGCTATATGAGAAGAGGCTTCCACTGATGATTCTGGAGGATAGCATTCAGATATTTTGTTGACTTTTTTGGG